GTAGTTCTGATATTTGTGATCGCTCAAAGAATAACGACACAGATATATTGAAAAGGAAATGGACACTTTATTTGGCAAATGTGTGCAACTGTAAAAGAAACGAGAAAAAAAAAACACACAAGTACAAACAAGTCAGATATGAAGCCTATGCCCAAAAAACATGGAACTTCGCCTTCTGTACATCAGGATTACGTAATCTTATTATGGTACACACACATGTACTTTCCCAGGTTCTCCTCGTTGATCCACAGTCTTTCTTTCCGGTTAATATGACACTGAGCTTCAAAAATGCCCTCTCAACGCTAACACTGGACACTCGTAGGCTGAGGATATGAAGCGCTGCCTGAACCGAAATCGGCCAATCGACCGATTGTGACCGCCAAAAGAGACACGGTGCGACGTGTTGACGCACAATACAACATGCAGAGCTTGCATCAAGTCAGTCTTCCTTACAACGAGTTTGAAAACACGCTCGTGCATAGCAAAGTCATAGGGAATTTCGGATTTCACGTTCCGATCGATGATGCGCACATTAAACCAAAACGCCGTGATGATATCCGTGTATCCCATACACTCGGATACGTTTCGATAGACACTGTCGTTTCACTTTTTCGCCACGGCTCTGCGGTACGACTTGACGGTCGTACCGCAGAGCCGCGGGAAGTGACCTTTTCCGGATAAAACCTGATTTGAGAAAATAGATTCGACGTACTTTTATCGGTTTTTGTCAGTTTAAATTGAAAATGCCGAACCTAGAAACTGACCTTTTTCGGTTAAAGCCGAATTTCCGAAAATGAATTTGGCGTACCTTTATCGTTTTTTATCGGTTTAAACCAAAAACTCCGAACTCTAGTTATATGTAAACGCCGTAGCTAATTTTCTTCTGGAGTTATAGAATTCCGAAGCTCAAGGCGTGGTGATTGCCTTTAGGTTTCGATATGGTGCTTTGCACAGCCGCCAACTTCACTCCGAAGCATGCACGAAATAATAATGTTTTCTGAGTATAAGTAAGTAAACCTTCCATAAAAAATTACTTATATTATGAAAGGTTTACGACATATACGCAGAACATTTTAAATTACGTTAAAGGTCTTCTATGCAAAAAAGAAAAAAAAAGAATTGAGTAACGCGTCAAATAAACACGTTTTAGACATACGTTTACAAATTATTGACCAACGAACCACTTCATACAAAACGACTTCAAATATACCAAAATAATCATCTTTAAACGGGTGTTACGAGTATAAAATAAACGTATGCTTAGTCATTATTTTACTTATGTTATTAATGCAGAAACGGAGCTCATTTCTTCAACTATGTCAAAATTGCACGTCAATATTTAAAAAGAAAACACCACTTCTCATTCTCTTTGAACTCTCCTTAACCATTTACAGTGACTTGAGCTAACTTATGATGGCAAAACAAGGAGTAACATATGACCTCCTTAAGAGAAGAACGATAGCAAACCTTCACTCAAATTGAGCTAGCTTGTCTTCGTTATAGGGGCTTTGCTTGACGACTTTGACTTCAAGGAGATGTTTTTCACAACTTGCAGAGGCTGTACAGCGGTGCTGCTCTATCGTAAGGAATAGAAAATCATGCTGTCCCTAGCTTAGTTATTATGATATTTGTGTTTTCTTGCGTTGCCTCCTATCCCCCCCCCCCCCTTTATCTCCTTCTACGAACCCAGTTCAGAACTGTATGCACATCACATTACTGTGAAGCCAAAAGCCCTCACGTGAGAACGGTCTATCACCGCAAAAGCAAGGCGAGGAAAGTAATAATAATAATAATGTGTTTTATTCCCTTAACAAATACATATAAATAATGCCGGCCTACAAAAGCAGTATTCTGCTTGTGCGTAGGACCAGACAATCCAGCGAAATACATATCAATACATCATGATAAAAAATCGAACGAGTACACTGTGGCCATTGATACCAACATTAATACGAAACAGAGCCGCGATTCGGCACAAAACAAAATGAACACAACTATCGAAATCATTAAAAAGCAAGTATACAGTGATGGGAGTAAAGCAGTGTTTATGGAGGTAATGAGAGGCACCAATTTTTTATTTCTTTTTTTGTTACTTTTATCAAATTTATTTTCATTAAAGGCTCAGTGAGCTCATTAAATAAGGTGGGAATAAAGTGAGCTCTGCATCTTTTTCCGTATCGCGTGTAAATTCTGGGGATTTTAAACCTTTCTTTGCGACTTAGGTCCCTAGGCTTGTCCACTGGAACCTTGAACGTTGCATCTTAGAAATAATTTATAAACGTAACATATCTATGAAAATTTTTGAAGAATAAAATTTGGAGCTTCTTTGCTTTATCTTCCATTCATTCATTCATTCATTCATTCATTTGTTTATTTTCTGTGCTCATGAACAGCTTGACGCCTTGGTAATGATGCACAACAAAATGTTCACAGGTTAATTACGAAAGTCTAAAGTTAAAAGCTACGAAATTTGGGTTAAAAACATCAATATCTGCTCCCCTGAGGGTATTGTAGAAGTGTTGAAATGGGACTCCGTACGGAACATATCTAATGTTCCGTACCGAGTTTCGTATGTAATGATTTTCACCATATGTTTTAAAATTCTGTCTATTGCATTTGTCTTGTACGAAGAACAGTGACCATATAAAGTGATTCCATATCGTAGAATTGATTCAGCTAACGACCTGTACACCAGTAGTCTTATCTTTACGCTGCACAAGCTTCTTATTCTGTACAGATATGCTGAAACGGCACGTAGTCTTTTAGTCACAAATTCCACATGTTGATTCCATGATAAATGTTCGTCCACGTATAATCCTAGATATTTTACACAATTATCGAATGGCAAAGGTTTACAAGTACAATTATTACACGGTGTCGAATGAAGTAAAATTCTAGGTGACATATCAACACGTTTATGAGAATTTCGGAAACACAGTAACTTAGTTTTGGCAAAATTTACTGAAATGGCATTTGAGTTAAACCAACCTATTAGTTCATTTATATCTCTTTGGAAGACTAAAACAGCATCATCATAGCTTTCATAGGGTAAAACTAGCACCGTATCGTCAGCATACTGAAATAGCTTAGATTGTAGAGGTAGAATACCCAAATCATTTATGTAAACGTTAAATAAAATTGGTCCCAGAGTGCTGCCTTATGGTACACCCCATTCGACTTTAGCTGTACCACTTATATTATTCATAATTTTAACCATTTGTTGTCTGCCGTTAAAGTAATTCTGAAAAAAGTTATAAAACTGTCCCCTGAAACCCAATCTGTAAAGCTTTTCAAGTAACAGAGAATGGTCAATGGTATCAAAAGCCTTCGATAGATCTATAAAAAGTGCCAGGGCAATCTTGTTATTGTCTAGTGCTTGATTAACACAGTCAGAAAAATCTTCTAATAGTGTAATAGTACTTTTTTGTTGTCGAAAACCATTTTGCGTACTAGAAAATAAATTAAATTTATCACAAAAATTGGTCACTGTTAATTGTACCCACTTTTCGATTATATGAGCTAATGCAGGTAGAATGGAAATGGGCCTGTAGCTCTCCAATTCCTGATTTTTTTCCCTCTTTATACAGTGGACGTATAATAGATATCTTCAAGCCCTTAGGAATTCTTCCGGTATGAAAGGTGTCATTAATTATTTTCATTAAAATGTGTTTTAATTTATCAAAATTATACCGAATATCTCGTACTCTAATATTATCAAATCCTGGTGTTTTAGTTATTGGCATAGCATTTATAATCCTCAAAAGTTCGCTCTCCGTCATCTGAGGTAAGTACGCCGAACTAGAGCATCTGACCTGTGAAGTGACGGGATTCGGACCATTCAGTGAAATGTTATTTTTTATGCTTCTTACAGAGTCAACAAAACACTTATTAAATGATTCTGATAACGTTAAATAAGAATCTAATCCAGGAAAGTTTTTTTTAATTGTATCATCCACGCTATTTTTAGACTTTCTGCCAGTTAATTGGTTTGCTAGGTTCCATGTCTTTTTTATATTTCTTCTCGAAGAGGTGAATTGATTTAAATAATGTTTCCCCTTTTCTAAACGTATTTTTGCTGTCACTTTATTGCGCACTGCACGAAATTCATTTCATAGTTCTGTGTTTTCGGGATTTTGCTTACATCTGCTCCAAAGCCTTTCCTTTTGATCACACAATTCTCATATTTCCTCGTTTATCCAAACATTCTTAGGTTTTCATTTCCTCAACTTTATTTTTCTAGTACCTTCAGAATAAATATCTTGAACCGTGTCCACTAGTTTGTCATAGGCTACAATATGATCGAACTCGCATAAAGAATTCCAATCGAACGATTGTATTAAATTATCGATTTTTTAGTATCTAGTATAACTTTGTACCCATTTTCTAAATCTACATTTTCAGCAGTAATTTCGCCTAATATTGAGAGTACAATAATGTAATGATCAGCTACCTTTTGCTTAATAACTCCAGACAGTGTTTTCAAATTACTCATTCTTATAACTATGTGGTCAATACATGATTTTGTAATTTTATTACCACAATATTCCTCCCTCGTATAATTTTGAATGACATTTTCTAGACCAAATGAAGCGAGGGTATCAAGATAACGCGGTCCTCCCTGTTTATTCTCATTCAGAACATCAATATTGAAGTCTCCTGCCAGAACTAGGTATTTGTTGTTATTAAATTTTTGAAGGAATTGTTCCAATTCATCGCAGAATATAGGTATATTTAAACTGGGTGGCCTGTATACAGCACACACAACATAAGAAAAATTCATTTTGTGAACAATAGCAGCACACACTTCTGCTTGTACAAATGAAACATCTAGTTTTTCTGACAAGCATTTGTCATTTATGTACATAATAACTCCGCCAGCTTTCCTTTGTTCTCGGCGCAAGCAGAAAAAATGAAAGCCTGGCAAGGAAAATGTAGCGCAACCTGCCTCATCAGTACTGACCTCACTCAAGATAAGTACACCCAAACTTTGTAGTCGCGTAGATAAAATTAACATTAACTGATCCCAATGTCTGTAAATACTCCTAACATTTACATGAATTAAGCTTAGTTTAGTGTCAGCGTTACTTCTTTCCGCTCTAGAACTTTCCGAATATCCGTCCCACTCACGGAACGATTCAAAAAGCGATTCCATGATTACCTAATTTTGATTAAGTCTCGTTCGCTCTCAATCTGAATCACCGCCGCTCCCTCCTTCTGCCTTACGAATATTTTTCCGTTCTTCATCCAAGTATACATGTACCCTTTTTCCTTCGCACGTGCCTTGGTGGACCACAACAAACTTTTCAGCGCTCTAGTCAAGTTTTCATTTATAAAAATGTTCTCATTTCTAAGAGTAGTTCTTTTTCTCACCGACAAGTCCCGTGTACGCCTCTCGGTGAATCTCACCAATATAGGTGTGATTCTTCCTTCATTAGCTTTTAGCCTGTGGGCAGCCTCGATGTCAATCGAAGTTACTGGTGCTAGGGCCAGCTTCGTTGCCACTGTGTTGATTACGCTCATATCATCTTCATTCGGTCGTTGGACTATACCATGGATTTCAATATTCTGGCGTCTAGAGTACAGCTCTGCATTGTCGATAGCCTTTCTTAGTTCGCCAACCTCTTCATCCCTTTGTGAAATCCTTCCCTCTACTTCACCGATTTTCCGCTGTAGTTCATTTATTGTTTTGTCTTGATTATCCAAATGAACGTTCAATTCCTCATACCTTGCTGTCAGATCATTCATGGTTGCCTCGATTCCTGCTATTGTTTTACTCTGATTTTCTATTTTGAGCATCATCGAGTCGGACCTCGCAGTCCGCGCCTCGAGAAACCTCTCAATACAAGACATCCTATTAAGGACGGAGGTCAACTTTGCACTGGTAGATTCATTTTGTTTGAGTAACCTTTCAAGTTTTTCCTCATTTGGGGTCAGCTCTGACGCCCATTGAGATACCTCGGGAGTCGCAGACTGTCGTTGGGAATGCAACCTGCAGGTGTTACATTGCCATTCTGAAATTTCTACGTCGTTCATTGACTTCATTACATTTTTTGTCATTCCAGAACACTTGCCCATGTGGTAATAATTTGTGCACTCCGAACACTTAATACATGCAGCATCATGTCCAGTTTTTTTCAGGCAAGAAAGACAGTCACTTTTTTCAGCCATTTTCGTGAAAGCACCAAACAAAAACCAAAAAGCAAAAAAAAAAAGAAAGCAAAAGCAAAAAGCAGACCAGCGAAATGCACACCCGCGCACTTACAAATAGTAACCGAGTGAATATGAAATCTTACCTACAAAAATTGAAAACTTAGTTTTCGTGGCGATGCATTCCGCTGGTCTGCGAAAGTATGTATCTGGCAACTCGGTAGCTTGGTTCGATTCTGCCCCCCCCCCCCCCCCCCCCCTTTCCCGAACTCTTCGGTAAGGCAAGTACCATCGCCTCCGGAATCTCTGGGTGCACCTCGTTAGTCTCATCTGTGGTCCCTGGCACCCGCGCATATCGATAGCTGGCGCCCAGTGGATAAACAAAAATTCATCCACTCTCCAGCTTTGGTCACGAAGTGACCAGAGCGGGCGAGTGGATAAATTTTTCAAACGATTCGCACAGTCCTGTTCCAATACCTACGTAGTATTAGCAAATACGATAAAGACTAGTGCTGGAAATTCATTCGAAGGCCATTGCAAGCAGTTCCGAATGACGACAGTGGCACCTCTAGCGGACCTGCAGGCTACAGAAGTAGAGAACATATGTTTTATAAGCCCCATTTTGTTTTCTCAAACGTTGAAACGATTCATTGCGGTCAGTGCGCATGAGCCATGGAATTCACTGATCCCAACTGCAATTATCACAAAAGCAGACATTTGTTTAGGTGTCTTGCAGTCAGCATGCTTATCCTACGTTTTCCAGGGGATTACACACGTTTGAGACGTCTCTTTCAAGAGACGTCCCAAACGTTTCTCCGGGGGAAAAGAGGGGGGCCTCTGGGAAATTCAGGAGTTTCCATCTATGGTGTGAAGGCCAACAAGCCAGCTTACCCTTTCTAAGTACCCCTGCGTAGCGAATGGAATACAGATAGACCTTGATGGCCCCGGGGGTTTTGTTGTTGGATGTTTCTGTGTCATTTTATACAGTGATGGTCCGGGTCATATTTTGCGTATTTTTGTCAAATATATACTATATGAAGGCCGTGTCCTTGGGAGAAGCACTCAGCTATGCGTATACAGAGTGTTTTACCAAATGCGGCCCAAATCGTTCGCGTGAAATGTACGCCTCCCAGAGAAAAAGGGGTTGATGTAATATTGGTTCCTGCCAAAGGGAAAATTTAGGAAAATATACGTCTTTGATATATTTAGGTTAACAAGTTCTAAAGTTGAGGCTTGTGTCAGTTCGTGTGACATATTTGAGAATTAACACAGCGCAAAAGACGAGGGACTAGATGAAGAAGAACACAGACACATCGCTGTGTTTGTTTTTCTTCATCTGGTTCCTCGTTCGTTGTGCTGTTTTAATTATCATATATGTTAATAACTACTTTTAGTAATTAACGTTATAATTATTAAACTCATATGGAACATGTCAATTGCAAACATGGTGGGAATAATTGAAAACTATTAAATCCACGCACATCATAGAGATATAAAGCATGCGCAACTTTTTACGGCGCTCCGTAAAATACACTCAATTTTGACGTGTTTTGAAAAATAAAAAAGGAAGAAAACGAGGGGGGGGGGGGGGGGGGGAGTCTTAGGAGTCAACCCGAGGAAACGCAAGTATAAAGCTAAACTAAAGACATCACAACTTTTTACGCCTTACGATAGAGCAGCACCGTTGTTCAGTCTTTGTGTGCTTCTTTCGAGCCAATGTCGTGCGGAAAAGCCCCCATAAGGAAGACAAGCTACCTCAATTGATGTGAAGGTTTGTTGTCATTTTTTACAGCGAAGCTGTATACCTCTACCAGGCAAGGAAATATTCGTGTCGTTGGCATTGTAGGCAAAAACCTCCCGGTAAACAATTGAACGCAAAAGAGCATATCTCCTTTGAAATCAGGCATACAGCATACAGCTCAGCACCCGTTTCAATAAATCATACCACAAAACAAGCATCAAAACCGCCTGATGCATGATAAGGCGCGTGTAAACAATAGGAACACCTTTCCACGCGTTATGGTAAAGATTAGGTTTGCAGCTGCTTCGAAAGAGGTTGACGTCATTTGAAGCCATCGTGTGAAGTGCAAACCGCATAGTGGATGATAACCGCGCCTGCGAACAATTCGAAGAACGTAGTGACGTCACTAGCCTTTCATATATAAAAGAAGAACCCGTCTACACTTCGTTTCACCTTACGTCTGGACGCAGCGGATGCTACGAGTTATCTTAGCAAATCCCGTTCTGTGGGCGTGGCCCGTGATACGCTTTCCGCGCGTAGATGTGCCCCCTCTCTAAGGTCACGTGGCACTCACGCGGCCTCCGATTGGCTCCCATGGCTCGTAACATCCGCTGTGTTTAAACGTAAGTTGAAACGGAGTTTAGCAACTGATTTCATTGTTGCCGCAGCACCGTGATGAATAGGCCACGAGTAGTTCGGACTCCCGAAGAGCAGCGTGAATACTAGGACAGGCAAAGGGAAAAGAAACGGCAATACGACCAGCGGCGGCGTGCTGCGACCGGTGGCGGCATTTCGTACAGTGCAGTGGGCAACCGTTGCAGGTGATAGCACAGCTTCGCTGACCAGCCACCTTCACAGCGTGGATTGGAGCCCCAATTTTTTTCTTAAGAAGGCCACATGTTATGCAATGTTTTGCCATGACAAGTTAGTTTAGGTCACTGTAAGCGGTTAAGAAGGGTTTAGAGAAAATAAAAAGTGGAGTTTATTAAATATTGACGTACCATTTTGGCAACGAGGTATAGGGCATTAGAGTGATAAACTAGCAGCTGAAAGTGACCCCCAATTGACCGCCGCCATGTTGTACAATTTTGACCACTAGACACGTGACCAGGCCAAATCTATGACGTAACCAGACCAAATCTCTGGCGTCAACGAAAAGATGGCAGCGCCCAGTGCGTGTCGGAAGCGTTGTGGGCGTTGATCGGAGTGTGTGGATTTCGTGTGCGGAATTCGGTTTTTCAGGGTTTTGTATGCTCCCCGCGTAGGAATAACGTGAAGTAGGAGGGAATGAGGCTTTTCTTTTTTATTTAATTCAGAGTAAGCCAGATTCGGTCCCGTGCTTCTCGTACGGGCTCGGATCACTACCTCGGACATCGCTCGGTCGTTCGAGTTTAATTATAATATCCGCAATCGTTAACCACGGGAGCTCCTCCATAATCGCTGAGTCGAAGGATACGTCGAACCCATCCGGAACGCGGAGTCTGAAGGTATGTAGGACGTAACCAGAACGCGGAGTTCTAACGGTACGGCGGACGTGCCCGGGCAATTTTCTTAGCTCGACCGTCAAGATTCGCATTTGAAGCAGCGAGTGAAGTGTTGAAATCTCCGAACTGCTCGGTGCTGAGCTAACTACGGACCACTTCACTATGTGATCCGTAGTGACGTGAAAAAGGCCGACGGCGGTCACTCCGGAGCAGACTTGTACGTAACGCGTTACAAGTAATTGATTACTTGTAATCAATTACAGTTAAGTGTAATTTTGTAACGCTTCAATTACATTTGTCAAGCTGTAACGCTCGGAGTAATTCAATTACTTTTTTTCTGTAATCAATTACAAAATCAATTACACAATTACCAATTACATTTTTCATTCCACAATTTTTTTTTCTCACAAAAATCAACATAGTCACTGAGCCATGGAGCAAAAATGATTGACATTTTTTTAACATCTAAAAAAAATAAAACTAGGTTTAGTCGGCAAATCCTTTTTTCTTTTGCGCCACGCTCTTCTACAAGCGCGCCACCAGCCTTGGCTGGGGAGTTCCGGATCTCGTTGCAGATTGCTGATAAAGTCGACGGGAAGCGGGAACTCGCTATTGACTTTTTAGTGGGCTTTGTTCCTTAGGTCGACGCGTCAGCTACACGACAAGGTCCGGGTCTGAAAACAAAAAAGGGAACAATAACCAAACAAAATTGTGTACGCAATATTTTACTGTGTATTTGTGTATTTCTGTCATCGCAATAAGAAGTAACGTGAAAGTAACTTGAAAAGTAATCAATTACTTTGCAGTAATTGTTCAATTACTTCTGGGAGGCAGTAATCAGTAACGGTAATCGGTTACTTTTTTTACTGTAGTAATTGTAATTGTAATCAGTTACTTTTTTTCAGTAACGTGTACAAGTCTGCTCCGGAGGGACGACGGCTCCCGGCCGCCTGCCGGGTGCCTTCTGTGAAGGGGCGACAGTCGAGTAAGCAGTACTGTACCAGCTTCTCTTATAGTTATGTTGTTCTCGAGCAGCTTCCCGATCACTAAACCCCGCAAACGCGTGCCGAAATTTCAAAAGGTGTCTGCCAACCTGGAAAGCCTTGAACTCCCAGGGAATTTCGGATCATCTGGGAAAGTCAGGGAATCATTCAAAAAGTGGGCTAAATAAAGGAAGACGACTAGTGAAAGCGGCATGGCGGTTGCTCGTCGGCACGGCCATGCTGAATGACATTGCCTAAATGTCATCCTTCGACTCAAAAACTCAAGGAATTTGATCAAAATAGTCAGGAAAAAACTTGAAAAAGTCGGGAAATTTGAAATCACTAGTTTGTTAGACACAATGTTTGATTTTCTTGGCACTCCACGCGTTTTTACACACGACAGGCACACGCCCGTGTATCACACGGCAGCCAGGCCAAGCGGCTGCCAGCCACTTGTGCAAGGTCGATAAGACGCAAGCGTGGAACGCTTTCGGACTGCTGTAAATACACCAGCGGGAGCGTCCGGCCGCAGTCCGACTGCCCACGCTAGGACACCCGACACAGACTCCGCGTCCTGGGTACGTCTGACGTATTTTTAGATTTTGCATCCTAGGTAAGTCAGACCTATCTTTAGACACAGCGCCTGATAATAGTAGTGAATAGGGTCACGTTCAGTGCGCAAGTCACTTTATTACACTCGGAGAGCGGAATTCCATTCCC